CAGCCCTAGCTGTCCTGGAACTTGCTTTGTAGACAGGCTGGCCTCGAACTCACAGAGATCCGCCTGGCTCTGCCTCCTGAGTGCTGGGATTAAAGGCGTGCGCCACCACCGCCCGGCCAGAATCTTATTAATTTTCACAACATGCCTTTTGGATCTTTGACATTTTATACTTAGGAATCCATCTTAAGAAAACAGTAATAGAGGAGAATAGGAGTGATTCTGACCAAAACACACTACATTCATATGTGAAATTGTCAAAGAATGAATAAAAAATGGTTTAAAATAGAAAACACTCATAATTGCCCCAGAGAACCTCAGTGAAGATATTCATCCAGCTGTGCTTACTGTACTGAAGCCCTAGAAATGAACATTAAAGTTTCAGATTTTATCTTTTTAATACCTTGCACAGAGATGGAATCCAATCAACTATTTCCCAATAAATCACCTTCTTTAAACCCATCTCCTAAAATCCACATTGATATAATAATATATATTATAGCCTAATACAATAATATATAAATTACATATTTACTACGTATTATGTATTATATATTCTAATATAAATTATAATGTATAAATAACTAAAATAATATAATATATTCTATTGTGTATATATTTACAATATAATATTGTAATATAATATGACCCATACTGAATAACTAATATTCCCATATGGATGGCTGCAGTGTATTCAAGTTAAAGGAGTATTTCATCAGCAAATTGGTTGCTTTTCTGTTCAATAAGACAAGGCCTACCAAACTGCCAGAACCCAAAACTCAAAAGCCACCCAGGGTTTTTCCTTCATCTTCCTTGTCTTATGTGTCTATTGTACTCTGTTGATTCTGTCCACACATTGCCTCCCTAGCTCCAGAGCCTGGAGTGAAGGGTAGTTTTTAGATGTCCGCAGCACTCTGGCCCTTCTTAATGCAGCATCTCAGAGGTGCTGTCCTCAGTCTCTCTCCTCTTCTTGAAATCATCACCATGACAAAGGCTCTGGGTGCTGATGTGATTTAAACCTGGAAATAGGTATCTCGCTCTTTGGTTTCTTGTCTCCCCTTGTTATTACATTGAGAAAATATAAACTGTTGCTGTCTTAATCCAGAGTGCTGGAATCCAAACAGCAAATCTGATTTCCGAGCTGGCTGGGTGGATCGGCATCATCCCCACCTCCGTCCCCTCCTTGTCCGGGCAGGGTTAGAACTTGGCCTACCATTCATCCACTCCTCTGACTTGGTGCTGAACTCGTAGGCTGTTACCCACAGCTGCTCAAAGGGCACTTTGTTGATCATCAGGGTTTGCAGAAGAGGGAAGGAACTCTTCTCCTTCTCCAACAGTTCTTCTTCCTTGTTGATCAACTGTAAGGAAAAGAGGAGGCAGTCTGTTGGATAGGTGGTTCTCTTGAACCCTGGAAACCTCCACGGCAACTTCCTCAGCACTGAGAAAGCCAAATGGAGGAGGCAGACACTCATTCAATGGGGCAGACTTAGTGGGAAGGTCCTTCTGCTGCCTCTGAGGGCCATGGTACTTGAGATCTAGCTACTGGAAACTGTGATGTGATGCTTGTTGCTTCATCTTTGTTCCCAGCATACTGTAGACCTCTCCATTTTCATAATTTCTACGTGAAATTTACTTGTTTATATGACTGTTTACCAGCCTTCTTACATTAACTTGCCTCAAAGGGAAGAACTTCAATGTTTTGTTGTTTAAACAGCTTGCTAATTGACCTTTGGGGAAAGTAGCTTACTGGCTCCACGTCTTTTCTATCCCACTAACATGGGCATGCATAGGGATAACAAGCTGCAGAAGTTTATTCCAGGCATTGAGATGAATGCAAAGGGCACATGAAGCCCTTTGTATATAACTCAGCTTATAATGGATACGCAACATGTACAAGCAGTTACCTTTCTGTAACTTCACAACTTATGAACACCTGATAAAATGTAAACACTAAGTGGAAAAGGTAGCTGAACATATTTGTGGGAGAATGGGCCAAGCAAACAATGGTGTGCCCCGACAGGTGTCATGTTCATAAGCAAAGAACCCGAATGACCAGACCTTAGAATCCTAAGTTCCCATCACAAGTTCCAAACCTCAAATTCTGTCAGTGCAAGATCTAGGTTCTTGGAGAGTTCATTAAGCTTTTCCACATTGTTCTTCATTTCTTCTGTGGTCATCACCTCACGCTTCCTAAAAGTGTCCAGTTCTTTGCCATAGCCTTCGAGTCGCGACTCAAATTCTGAGCACCTGAAAGTGAAGACAGCCCCGTTACATCTGAATTTCCATTGTCTGTCCTTTGCAGATTATCAGCCTGGGAGGGATGTGTTCTTCTGACACTCCCAAACTCTACATCTATCTAAAAGCAAACGAAGAAAGAGAAATAAAAAAACAGGTTAAAGCATCTATGATCCATCTATTGGAGACGGGCTGCTATGACCCTATTGGTGATTGAACATGCCTAGAAATTTTTCCTGTCCAGGTAAGTACATGCTCAGTTATGTATTTTATACAATGTTTATTCATTCCACCATTAGATATTTATTATCGAGGCCTGATACATCCCAGAACTAGGCACCAGAAAAGGATCTGTGAAGTATGCTATTAATTTCCATACCTTATTGGAACATGAAATTTAGTTGGGAGGGAATCTAGACAAGAAGCATGGATTGGTGAGTGGGTGGATGGATGGATGGGTAGATGGTTCAATTCCCAGATTATAGATAGATGAATAAATCCATAAAGATACTTCTGATAGTAACAAATGCTGTAAGGAAAACAGAGAAAAGCGAACAGACTGCCTTGTGTTATCCACTCTAGCTGGAGTGATTAGGGAGATCTTTCTAGATCTGTCTACTTCATCCATGTGATCAACAAATCTGGTCTCCATTTGTTTCTTTATCCAATTTATGTAGATGATCTACTGTTTAGTGGACAGGATGTAGAGCCAGGAGTGCTTGGCCCAAATGTCTACTGATATTTATTAGCTATGTGGTCTTTGGGCACATCACTTAAATTCTCTGTATGTCAATATATACAAAGAGAAAGTATGAACTTAATAGCTAAATAACTAAGTAGAAGTTAATATAAAATTGTCCCAAATTGAGCTTGGTTTATCACAATCACTGTACAAGAATTTGTTCTCATTGATGCAAATATATGTATTTTCTTCATTAATTCCACGTTACCAGCAGTTGCAGATTGTCTGACATACAGACAACAATCAATATTCATTGAATGAGCAAGAGTTCTTGTCACCAAGTACAGCGTTAGTGATAGCCCATAAATTTTGCTCTTATCTTCTTAGATTCTTAATTCTACTATAACAATTTTAAATGTTCTTTCTTTTTCCTCTTAATGGTACTTTAAGAGAGTTACTTTCCAAGTGATTTGGTTTGGATTTTATCTCTAATTGCACCATGTGGGAGACAGTGTATGATATGATCCCTGCCTCCTGGTTCAAATTCTATATAATTGGCTCCCTCGAGTTTGGCCTAGACATGGTAATTCACTTCTTATAAACAAAATATGGCAAAAGGATGAGTTGTCCCCTCCAAGAAAGTTCACAGAAAGGCCAATTTCTATCTCTTTTACTCACTCTTTCAGTCCTACTTTGAAGGAAAACAGCTCCCATGAGGGGAGGTTCATGTGGCCAGAAGGAAGCCAAGGGCCAGCAAAGTGCTCAACCCTACTAATAACCATGGGATCAAGCCCAGAAGTGGATCATCAGCTAGTGGGACCCCCAGACCAGCCTACAGCTTGGGCTAGCATTCTGACTCAAGCTTCACAGGAGACTTGTTATCAGAGACATACAGCTAAGTGGCTCTTGGGAGTTCTAATCCAAAGACACTGTGAGAAATCTCCATTGCTTTAAGATGCTATGTTGTATTATGTCACAATAGATAGCTAATATACACAATTATATAATTTCTGCTCCTTATTTTTATGAGTCCTGAAACATGGTCAGTTTTTTAATGAATATCTATGGGCATTTAAGAATAGATATTTTACATTGCAGGGTCAAGTTTTTGATGTGCAATCATGAATGGAAGCCCCTGGAAAGAGCCTTACCTTTTGCTGAACCTTCTCTGCAAAGCTGATTAACTGATTGAAATCTCAGCAATGGTGGAGAGGTTGAGATATTGCAGGTCTAAAGTCTAATTATAATTTCTCCTGGGCTATCGTTAGTTCTCTGCTCACCTCTGTGTCTGACCTAACATCCTGTAACTAGGCCTTTTGGAATGCATTAGCTTAGCAGATCACTAACGTTCACTATCCAAAATGCTAAGACCGTTGTCAGCACCTGGACCAACAGCACAGATTTCTCTACTCTTGCTGTAACCACCTGATGTTTCCACCAGCATATCCGAAAAATGCCTTGATTTATAACTTGCTTTTCTCTGCTGCTGTAAAGCTTCATCAGACTGTTATCACATGGGAACATGGAGTCTGGGGTAACCCCAGTCTGTGCTCCCTAGCCACGGGCACTCACTTTGGGTTCCAGAATAAACTCGTCTTATCCCCTGAGAGGTAGAAGCTGTGTTTTCATGTTCACATTATCAATATGGAGACAGAGTGGGAGACACACCCCACCAATGAGTCAAGATTACTCTTTATTCCATTATCTCTTCATTCAAGTTACTCTTCTATTTGAATTATGCACTAGTTTATGTAATTTATATATAAGAATTGATGTCTGACTTAATTTTCTTTTACTTATCTAAGTAACCATCTTTGATTCACTGATTCCCCCGAAGTGTTATTAGCCAACTGGAAAACTAGACAATCTCCAGCCCCGGGAGGTATGGCTTCATCCTCTTCCTCATCATCACAGCTCTTGTGCCACTTTGGTCCCTTTTTTTTTCTTTTTTCTTTTCTTTTCTTTTTTGTTTGTTTGTTTGATTTTTAGAGACAGGGTTTCTCTGTGTAGCTTTGCGCCTTTCCTGGAACTCACTCTGTAGTCCAGGCTGGCCTCGAACTCACAGAGATCCTCCTGCCTCTGCCTCCCGAGTGCTGGGATTAAAGGTGTGTGCTACCACCGCCCGGCCACTTTGGTCCTTTCTTGTCATTCTTCCTCTTCACATGGCCTGGGTGGCCATTACCATAAGGAGAGCAGAGGGAGAAGTCTATCTTCTCGGAGTCCAGATAGACAACAAAAGATGGGATGTGTCTTAGTTAGGGTTTCTATTGCTGTGGAGAGACACCATGACCACAGCAACTCTTATAAGGAAAACATTTAATTGAGGTGATTTGCTTAGAGTTCAGTCAATTATCATCATGACAGGGGCATGCAGCATGCAGGCAGACGTGGTGCTGGAGGAATATCTTATAGTCCTACATCTTGAGGGCAACAGGAAGTCAACTGACATTCATACTGAGAAAAGCTTGAGCAAGAGAGACCTCAAAGCCCATCCCTACAGTGACACACTTACTCCAACAAGGCCACACCTCCTAATAGTGCTACTCCCTTTAGGGGCCATTTCCTTTCAAACCACCACAGGATGTTCACCACCTATTGTGGACCCTGGTATGGTACTGGCGGATGAGCACTCAGGTACAGTGAATAGACTTGGCCAGGCCCATCAGACCTAGGCCTGAAGCTGCCTCTCCAAGAAATCCCCAATCTTCAGGCCAAAATATAATCCAGTTTCATCTTTCCTCATCCAGCACGCCAGTGCTAATGAGTTGCTTCAGAAGGACATTGCCTTCAAGAAGATGCCATGGTTTCCTATTAATTAGTCCAGTGTCAGCAGCTTCTGGGTGGCCTTGTGGGTCTTGGCCAAGGTAAATTTGACCCTCCAGACCTCACCTTTGTAGGCCATATTTGCCTATCAGCTTCAGTTTCTGATTGAGATACAATTTCTCAAAGGGTCTGCATGGGGTCACATAGGTTTTATGACAAAACTACTATCTTGGTCCCCACTAATATTTTTTTCTCTAACTCAATGGTTCTCAACCTTCCTAGTGCTGTGACTTTTTAATACAGTTCCTCATGTTATGGTGACCCCCAACTGTAAAATTTTCATTTGTATTTCATAACTGTAATTTTGCTGCTGTTATGATCATAATGTAAATATCTGATATGCAGGATAGTTGATATGCAACCCCTGTGAAAAGGTCATAAAACCACAAGGGGGTCTCACCCATAGGCTGAGAACCACTGCTCTAACTGATTAACATTTTGTTTTTCTTTGTATTATTTTTATTTTCCATTTTCCTCTATGTATCGTATATGCATGTCAGCATATATGTGCATGTACACAAGTGTGTGTGTGTGTGTGTGTGTGTGCCCATGTATGTGGAAGCCAAAATTGATGTGAGGAATTATCCTTGGTTGCTCTTTCACCTTATTCATCAAGCTAGGTTTCTTTTTTTTAAAAATTTTTTTCTTTCATTGTTCTTTATTAAGAAATTTTCTACTCACTCCACATACTATCCACAGATCCCCCCTCCTCCCTTCTCCTACCCCCAGCCCTCTTTCCCAAGCCACCACACATTCCCACATTCCCCAAATTGAGGTCTCCCATGGGGAGTCAGCAGAGCCCAGCACACTGAGCCTAAGACAGGTCCAAACCCCTTCCCACTGCACCAAGGCTGTGCAAGGTGTCACACCACAGGCACTGGGTTCCAGAAACCTGCCCATAGACCAGGGACAGATCCTGATCCCCCTGCCTGGGTGCCTCCCCAACAGTTTGAGCCAAACAACCATCTTCCATATCCAGAGGGCCTAGTCCAGGAAACCAGAAGCTCGTCTGTGCTCACCCACCTTTCCAAGCTAGGTTTCTTAATCAAACTCAGAGTTTGACAATATAGCTAGCTTGTTCTGGAGACCTCTGAGGCTGAAATTAAAGGTGGCTGCCACCCACACCCACCTGACATTTTATATGGCTTCTTGAGATCCAAATGTCAGCAAGCATTTTAACCACTGAGACAGCTCTCTAGCCTCAGCATTTTTAAAAATGTGTGTGTGTGTGTGTGTGTGTGTGTGTGTGTGTGTGTGTTTGAGAGAGAGAGAGAGAGAGAGAGAGAGAGAGAGAGAGAGAACTGCAGGTGCATGTGGGCATCAGAGGACAACTTTTAGGAGTTGGTTCTGTTTTTCAGCTGTGTGTTCTGGGTGCTGAGCTCAAGTCATTGGTTTTGTGTGACAAACACTCTTACCCACTGACCCATCCTGCCAGGCCATTTTTTCTTTGTATGGCATGTGATAGTCTTGGTTATAGACAGCTTAAGTTTCCCTGATATCGATAGGAACAGAAACCATATTAGTATCAAGATTAAATCAATTTTTAAGAATTTATGGGAAACGCAAGAGGGTGGAAGAACATAGTAAAAAACATTTTAGAGGTGCAATTAGAGAGCTCTAGAGTTGTGCCAAACAACACAGTTTCTTTAAAAAAAAATAAATGGGAAGGGGAAAAATAGGAGTTGAAGGGGGCCAGGAAACTTACAGAATAAAAGAAATTGGAGGGAAACAAT